TAGTAATAGTAATTATGCACAATCTGTTACATATTTCTTGTCATATATTGGAAAGAATCCTATATTGCAACAAGTGCTTAAACATGTCTGCTCAGTAAATTTAACACGCCCAGGTCAGTATTTTCATTCGATGAGGCACTTGACAGATCCGGTGTCAAATTCGTAAAAACAAACATTGGTTCAGCTTTTCGATCACACGAAGATCTAAAATTAAGAATTATTTCAGTGCAAACTGAGCAAGAACGACTTAATCTACTTTTAAGTGAATATGTTAACGAAAGTTCTTTAATACCAACAGATCGACCTATGAAGTCTCGCGAAAATGTTCTTCAGGATCTAACTAATCAACTATTGGAAGCATTTAGCCAAGCGGATCCTACTCAACACCAACTTTTCAGAGAAATGTCTCAAACTAATGTTGAAGGATTTCAACGTCTTTTTGAATGTTATGATATTGGCAAAGATCGATTACAAAGTATATATAAACAAGACATTGAAAAATCAATGCCACGTAATACATCCGGTCGACGTAGTCAAAATATTATTGTTGATAGTTTCACCCAGCAGCAAAAACGTCATAAAGAAGAGAAGTCAAAAACAACAAAAAAAAACATTAAATTACATAAGGTTAAGTTGGTTTTAAATTTCATTGTTATATATTATTTTTAAAGGATAAATTTAAAATATCTCTTATATTGATATATTTCGATTTTATCCTTTAGCAAATGAACAAAAGAGGTCAAAATTTTAACACCAATAATGTCTTATGCGTCTTTTTATAATTTGAAGAAATTAAATACATTTATCATAAAACGCACCTATTACAGCTTTGAAACTATTATATGTTTTTTTATTATATTTTTTAGAATTTTCTGAGTTTCGTGTATAAACTTAAAGTATTTTGGGTGCAAACCATTTTTATTTAAAGCACCACACCAATTAATTGGCCGGTTTTTAAGACATTGCACAGAAGTAAACTGCCATAAGTGCGTTTTAGTAGAAGTAATTAAAATATTCTCTAACTAAGTAAAATTTATATAAATTTTATCGTAAACTTTATTCATAAATGCGTTAATGATTACTGCAAGGAAAATGTTTTTTTAAAAAATTAGACAATAGGAGCAAAAGTAATAAATATATTTTTCTTCCATGATTTTACAAATTTTAACGATCGTGATGTATTCTGCTATAATTTTGTGCGGTAGATATCCGCTCAATTTTTTAACAACCAATATGATAGCCAAAAAAGAAAAATAATAGTTTAAGACCACTTTACTTACAGCCAACCTATAACAATAATGCAATATGATTATTTAAAGTCGAATAAAATTCATAATGATAAAGTTTAATCGTAATGCACTTTTTATTGGATGTATCAAATTGCGAAGTGATAGCACTAAAAGCATGTGAATAGACAAACTGAGTCCGATGCCTACTAGTACGTCAATTTATGCGTAAAATGAGAGTCCTCACCAAAGAATGAGTTATAACAACAACAACGATTCTTTTAAATTTTATTTTTAACTACTATCTAAACTCTGCATAAAAGAATATCTAAAGCAAAAGGATAAGTATCTAAAATATAGAGTAGATTGTGTTTTTGTTTTATTTTTAAATAAGAAATAAATGAATTTTTTTCACCGATTTACATATAACATAACAATTAGGCGTGACATGTCATTTGACCAATAATGATTAACAATGTATAGGACATGTCCTGTGCACTAATTTGGCTTGATGAATTGTATTAAGCCCATCAGCTATGTTATATAAGATAGCAACTTTAAAATTCCAATCTAAAACGTTATATTTGCTGTCTAATAATTTTCGGAGACTTCCCTGTTTTGCGTACTGCATAACCATCATATAGTTATTATCGTTTGGGTTCTTAGTTATTCCATAAATTGCGATTACTGATCTATCCCCATGATTTTTAATCTAAATTATTAATTAGGATAAATAAAACTTAAATAATAATAACGATAATAATAATGATAAATTATATAATATACACCTCATTTAAAAATTTTTGTTTTATATCTTTAGAATTATCAAGGCCTTTTAAACAAACAGTTTGTGCATTTCGTTCCCATACGTTCCTTTGGTTATCAAATCCGTAAATAAATCCGTCAGTCCATACTGCCTTAAAAACAGTACCAAAGCCTCCTTTAGCAAGATATTTTATATTTGTAAATTTATTAAAAGGTATCCATTCGATAATGTCTTTAAATTTTTTTGCATTAAGTTGAGTTTGTCTAATAAATTCATCAATATCGGGATTGTCACTTGTCCATTATGAAAATCCTTTTGAA